GCCAGACCGGCCTTGCTCCTGGGTCCTGCTGACTTCCCCTGGGTCCTACTGCCCTGGCTCCTATCATCTTTGACAGACAGCCATGAGAAAATAAATATTACTTTTCTAAATTTTTTAAGGGCTCTGTGGGCTGGATGGAAAGGCCTGGCATGCTGTATCCGGCTTGTGAGCCATATTTTGCCTAACTGGTGAACGTCATTTCCCCTCCCAGTTGTTCCTTGCCCATCAATGTGTGATGCAGTGACCCAGACTGAAGTACAATACTATCAATCAGGACAGTAATTGATTAGGTAGGTATTTAATATTAAAGAGCTGTGGAAATCTCAATTATGCAATAATCTTGGGTGAGAAGCAAGAAAAATTATTTTCATTCTTCTGTTCTTTCACAGAAAGCAGCAGCACAGTACTACCCAGGAGGCATTGTCACGATTTCCAGTTTCTATTTTTGACAAGTGAAAACGATGATCTCCAGTTATTGGATGCATTACTATTGTTTTGTGGTTGATTATTTAATGACTGTTGTTTTTTGTTTGATTATTTTTTGTAACTTAAAATTCTGTAAATAAAAGTGTTGATACTGTACAGTTGTCTGTACGCTGCAAATTGGAACACCCTTTGGTGCTGGTGCGGTGGTGTCTTTCAAGAGAGGATTGCAATAGGTGTGGGCAGATCAGGGCGACATGGGTGGGCCACCAGTTTGTGGATTTACAAAGGACTGATTGGAAGTGCGGACACTTGGCCAGACAAGAAGTGTGGGCAAATGCTTCTGCCTGGGGCTGGGGCTGAGAAGCGAGGTTGGGGAGTGAGGGACTTGTCTCCTGCTGGGGCCTTGGTGGTCCCCTGAACATCCCTCAAAGTCCAGCCAGTGCCCCAGTGGTGTGTGCTTCCCCCAACAGTGCCCTGAACTGGTGAGGGGGGTGAGGGTCTTGTCTCCTGCTAGGACCTTGAGGGCCCCCTGGGTGGGCACCCCACAAAGTCTCGCCAGTGCCCCAGTGATGTGTGCTTCTTCCAACAGTGCCCTGAACTGGTGGGGAGGCTGGGACCTTGGTGGTCCCCTGGACACCCCACAGAGTCCCTCCAGTGCCCCAGTGTTGTGTGCTAACAGGAAATGTACTAACTACAGTCAACTCCTGAGGGCTACAGGGAGAGGAGCTCCTGGCAGCAGAGCTCCTAGCAGAACAGTTGAGCTAGGGTAAGCAGCACAGAGCCAAGGAGCAGGATAGAGTGGGCCAGAGGCTTGGGAGCAAAGCCAGAACCCAGGGACAGGCCAGGCTTTGGAAAAGATAGGCCTGGGAACAGGGGCAGTTGAGCCTGTATCCTGGAGAGGGGCAGAGGCAGAGTACAGTAGCCCAGGGATCAGGGCAAAGGTGCCCAGAGATCGTGGTTAGGAGCCCCTAGCCCAGAGGGGGCAGGGACAGGTACCTGTTAGGGTGGCACCTAGAGCCCATAGTAGCTTGCATAGGCAAACTGCCCAGTGGGGAGTACAAGTGGAAAGGTTGCACCCAGGAGTAGCTCTGAGAAGCAAAGTGCCCAGGAGAAGCAGACAAGCCTAGAAAACATATCAGGGAGTGGCTGAGGGTTCCAGCCATGCCTCAGACACCACAGGAGACCCAGGCATGGGAAAAAGGAGTTGCTGATATGTCATCTTCACTATGGAAGGGGATGTGACCATGCTATTGCACTTCTCTGCTCCAAGATTCAACCTTGGGCTTGCCTTAGGTGTGTTGCTTTCTTTCAACCAGGGAGATAAATAGCTCTCTCATTCTGGTAATGGGCAGTGTTCAGCCTTAAGTGACTTCAGAGAGCAATGTTATTCTACTGGGGACCAGATTCACTTTATTAATGCACTAAAGATGCATGATCTAACTGGGAGACCACTCTTAACATATGACTGTCTGGAGCTCCTGTTTTTGACCAGCTGCCCACAGTCACTTCTCTCCAACGGACATGGTTACTTTTGTACCAGCCTGGTAAAGTTCCAGTACCTTTACATCATTCACCTGGTGAACTTCATGAAGCAAAGCTCTTGTGAAAAATATAGTGCTGTTAAAAACTGTAACAACGTACATACATGCACAGGGGCTTATATAAATTGTAAAGATAACCTTAATTCTGGTGTTCAACTGGTTGCCTTTTGCAAACTTAACATTCTTTTAATGTAATTTTTGGGGATGTAATTTACTATTTTCCTAGGATTGAAAAACAAAAAAAGAATAAAGGTTGGGGAGAATGTTGATAGATTTTTTTTTTTTTAAGATTTTTTTTTTTTTAAGTCTTCAAGAGGAGGTTAGATAGGCATCTAGCTGGGGTCATCTAAACCCCGCACTCTTTCCTGCCTATGCAGGAAGTCAGAATCGATGATCTATTGCGGTCCCTTCTGACCCTAACATCTGTGAATCTATGAATTTATGAACTAAAAAAGGTTTCAGTCGCACAAAAAGTCATTTTAATTAATCTGACCCTTGAACTGCCCAACACGTAGCAATTTATATCCTTTCCAGCTGGTGTGCAATAGCCGCATTGTAACAGAAATTGTATCGATTTCTCAGTGAACCCAGGTGGCACCTGGAGGACAGATTGTGGCATACTGGGAAAACGGTGGTTTTGCCTGTGTGTGAGAATACACATTATGAAACTATCATGATAAAAATAATCCTGCTGGACCAATTGGCCATGCTAAAAAAAACACATGGTGATACTTGTCTAATTTACCACAATAAACTGAAATCTCCCATGATACATAGATGTCAATGTGTATTTTCACACATGACTAACCTAGCAAAATGGGGATTTTTGCCGCCATTTCATGACATGTATCTAAGCAATGCATAATGTGTACATAATGTTTGTACCTGGATTGGGCAGAGGAAGGCATGAGCTATCATCTGACATGGATAAAAAGTTTATTATATGCCTATTAGCAAACTTCCTGGTGAGGCTGTGGAGTCCCCTGGGGCAGGAGAGAGATCACAGTGAACAGGGTAAGTGAATGGATGAACTCTGATAATAATCTTTAAAAATACTTGAAAAGGGATACCTGCTGAATGGGGTGGGAAGTCTGGGGAGGTCTTCCTGTCTTGAGGGATACTCCTGGTTCCTACTGTGCCCACAGGACAGTGAGCTAATTCATATTCCCCTTGGTAAGGAACATGTATGTATATTTGTTCACTGATTTTCCCTCTCTTTCCTGTGGGAGTTGTGACAGCCCCAAGGGCACCCCGACCCCCCTGCACCTGCATCAGTGGTATCCAAAGGATATAACGTTGCCTCTTCTACTGGCAGCAGAAATAAGTCACTGGCATATCCTAACTACACTTCCTTCCCCCTGTGTGTGACTTGGGGGTGATGGGGGCCGGGGTGGGGGCAGTGTAGAGGAGGGAGCAGTAAGACAAGAGCACAGATTGGGCGGGGTGGGATGGGGGCCGTAAATTGGGAAACTGTCAGAATCTCTGCAGGTTTATGACAGCAAAGGACCCAGCCTTATTGCCAGTATTTCTTGTGTTTGAAGAGCTGGACAGCTGTTAAGTCTTTTAACAGGAGAATCACAGAAATTAGGGAGGGGAAATAAAAGAAGGAAAGCCAATATATCATGTTTTGACCTCCACTTTCTAATAGGCACATGTATGCATATATATGTGCGCATATGTATGTCTGTTAAACAAGATTAACCCCTGCTAAAATGAAATCTTTCATTTTGGATTGACTGTAACTGATGGTTTTTCCTTGGTTTTCGCTTTGGCCATTATATTCGGGGGAACATGAGGGGAAGGGAAATGGGGGAGAAATGTCTGACTGCCTGTCTTCTAATAATCCTCCAAGCTTTCAAAAATAGTGAGTCAGGCTCCAAAAGCAACAGTCAGACCAACAAGATATAGAGTATTTTTTGTTTGCCTTCTGGTTCATGGCATTTTAGCATTTACCCTTTCCTCTGTAATCCTGGGCAGTCAGAGTTTGTTTTTTAACAAAAGCTGATCCTTTTATCACATGAATCCAGGAGCTGGACTTTTGAGAAAAAACATCCAGTTTCGAGGATCTCATGATGAAACCTTGAGAGACGGCAACAGTGGACCTCTATAGGATGTCTTCATAAAGTGAGGGTTTCTCCCATGTGAGGGCAGGTTTTGGTATGTAACTTTAAAGAGTCAAGGAAGTTGTGTTTAAATTCCTTTTATGGGCTGGGTCACAAGGCATTTAGGGAAGTGGAGAAAAATCCCAAACAGACAAGCTGACTGGATTGTCTAGTAAATTGTAAATACTTTCTTTTGTGGAATTCAGTAAGAGTCTTGATATTGGAATGAACAGAGGTTGAATTAGGGAAGTTATCTGTCATGGGGTGATAGGGAAAAAAAGGGTTGGCTGGTGCAGCATGGATGGAGAGAGGTTAATATTGTGGTGGTCCGGTGTCACTACTGGAGCCAGGCCTATTTCAGGTGTTGGCAGAGGAATGGACCATTTAGCACGGGGCCTTCAATAGTCAATGGAATGTCACCCCCGTTGTGGATGATGCTGAATTGCTGTAGGTCATAAAATGTCAAAAGATTGCAAGAAACTCATCTGACTTAGATGTACTGAGGAGCTGGGCAGCTACATGGCAGAAGAAATTCAGCCTGGATTAATTATGTACGTAGTCTGAAGTGATCTTAACTGATGGGCTTGTATAGCCTTGTTGGGGAAAGAGGAGTGAAGGAGTCTCCATGGATCACTCAATGGAGACCTCTGTCCAGCGTGCAGCTGTGAAAAGCAAGTAGGATACTTTTGTGGACACCCTGGTGTGCTATGACTACTGGAACATAAGATACAGCACTATTAACACAAAGGGGTTAAACACCCCCCCCGGTAGCACTAGGGCTCCCTGTATGAAGTACAAGATTCATGTACAAGTTTAAGTCTGTAAAAACCCTCCACTTATTAACGAGGTTGGCATAGTGATGAACTTTGCCTTGTACTGCCCTGGAGTGCTGTATAACTCTGCCCCAGAGCTTGGGCCTTTATTTTAATCCTTCAGTCCCTGTGTGGGTGAACCTGGAAGGCAACAGAAGGTCTCTGCCCCACTGAGAGCAGGGCAGTTACCTGCTGGTCCATTTAATTTGATCCTGGTCTTGCTGCTTCCTATTCCTTTTCTCTCTGGGCCCAGTCAGAAGCCTGCTGATCTATAGGGAGAGGTTCCTACTAGGTCAGGCAAATGAAGGCTCATATCCCTAGGAGAGCATTATTTCCAACCTTGCAGACATGTGTCCCCTACAGGAAACTCCTGCCCCTCAGGACCACTACAGAACTGCCAAGTATTTGAGTAGCTCCTGTTGTGCCTGCCTGTTGTGAGGTCCCCCTGTTGAGCCCAGGGGGACCTCACACAACCATTCATCTGGGAAAGGCAGCTGGCATTTGCCTACAGCTTCTCTTTCTGACTGCTCAGGGGGGCTGTGACCTCCGGTAACCAGTGGCCTCCTGTCTCATTTGTCCACACGCTCCTCTTTGCAGTGGAGTTTCCTTTGGGAAGGAGTAGCTGCAAAGAGGAAGCTGCCCCAGTTGAGGCCTCTGGGTTCTGGATACAGCTGGTTTAAGTAAAAACGTGAACCCCCTAGGTACCCAGCAGCCTCAGGCACCCTTCCACACATGCTCCAGTAAGAGGGTTTTCAACCCTCCAGGATTGTCCTGGAGTCTCCATGAATTAGATCTAAATCTCCAGGAGATTACTGAGAGTCACCCAGGAGATCAATGATAAGCATTCATTTATTTAAATCAATATTAAATGTTGAATCCAGTTTATACAGTAGTCCAGTAGGTTTTTAAAATGTGATAGTAATGTGCGTTAGCCTCTTGACATGACATCTACACACCAGAATCTGTAACTGATATACGCAAGCACACAGTCACGTTCTTTTTGTGCATCGCAGGCACACTGCCATCCAGAAAACTCCCAGAATAGATTCAAACAGAATTGGCAACCCTATCCAGTACCAGTAGCCTCTTACTACTAGCAAACACCCTCTTTCTGCTCCACCAGTTCCATAGTATCATAATTGGTGGGCTCGGAAGGGACCTGAGCAGATCATCTAGTCTGAACCCCTGCCATGGGCAGGAAAGGTTGCCAGGGGCAAATGACCCCAGATATGTGGCTGTCTAGCCTCCTTTTGAAGACCCCCCAGGGTAGGGGCAAGCACCACTTCCCTTGGAAGTTGGTTCCAGCTCCTAGCCGCCCTGACAGTGAAGTAGTGCCTCCTGATATCTAGCCTGAATCTACTCTCAGTCAACTTATGGCCGTTACTCCTTGTTACCCCCGGTAGTGCTCGGGGGAACAGGGACACTCCCATTGCCTGCCGGTCCCCCTTGGCAACTTTGTAGGCAGCCACCAGATCCCCTCTCAGCCTTCTCTTGTGGAGGCTCAACAGGTTCAGGTCCCGTAGTCTCTCCTTGTAGGGCCTGCCCTGCTGCCCCCTGATCATGTGAGTGGCCCTCCTCTGGACCTCTCAATGTTGTCCATATCCCTGTAGTGCAGCCCCTAGAACTGGATGCAGTACTCCAACTGCGGCCTGACCAGTGCTGCATAGAGGGGGAGGATCACCTCCTTGGACCTGCTTGTGATGCATCTATGGATGCATGACAAGGTGCAGTTAGCCTTCCTAACTGCATCCCACATTGGTGGCCCAATGTTCATCTTGGAATCAATAGTGATTCAAAGATCCTTTTCTGCCTCTGCACTGATGAGAAGGGATTTCCCCAGCCTGTAGGTATGCTGCTGGTTCTTCCTCCCCAGGTGCAACACCTTGCACTTGTCCCCATCCTGTTCTCATCTCCCCACCTCTGTAAACTGTCGAGATCTAGTTGTAGCCTGTCCCTCTCTTCTAGCGTGCTCACTTCTCCCCACATCTTAGTGTCATCTGCAAACTTGAACAAGGTGCTTTTCATCCCCTCACCCCAGTCGCTGATGAAGATATTGAACAGTGCGGGCCAGGGGACTGAGCCCTGGGGAACCCCACTGCCCATATCTCTCCAGGTCGAAAATGACCCATTCACCACCACTCTCTGGGTGCGGCCCTCCAGCCAATTTGCAACCCATCTGACTGCATAGGCGTCGACACCACAGATGCCTAATTTTTTAATGAGGATGGGGTGAGAGACAGTATTGAAGGCCTTCCTAAAGTCCAGGAAGACTATGTCCACTGCAACACCTGCATCCAAGGCTTTTGTGACCTGGTCATAGAAGGCCACCAGGTTGGTCTGACAGGACCTGCCTCTAATGAACCCATGTTGATTGCCCCTAAGCATGATCTCCACTGCTGGCCCCTCGCAGATGTGCTCCTGGATAATTTTCTCAAAGAGCTTCCCCAGGACCAAAGTAAGACCAATGGGCTTGTAGTTTCCTGGGTCCTCATTCCTCCCTTTTTTGAAAATAAGGACCACATTGGCCCTTTTCCAGTCGTCAGGCACCTCACTAGAGCACCACGAGTACTCATAAAGCTGTGCCAGGCGACCTCCAATGACCTCTGCCAGTTCCCGAAGTACTCTGTGGTAGAGGTCATCAGGACCTGCTGATTTGAACACGTCTAGTCCCACCAGAAGTTCCCTGACTAGATCTTCACTGACTCTGGGCCTGGCTGCACCTCCCCTGGGTCTGTCCGGGATCCCGGTGTGGGGGATATCCCTGTCCCTGCTCAGAAAAACCTTATTCCTTTGTTCCTCTTCCTGCCTCTTCAGTTGCATATTTAGCTGGTGTACACTAAGTTGAGCTCTCAGCTGACTGCTTGGGGTTTTTTTAAGCAGCTTTTGTCACAGAGAGAATACTGTTGTCTTTATTCTTAACCAATTAGTAAATGAATAAATACCAATTGAAGATTACCAGTTAAATACCAGATTTTCAAGGGTGTAACATCCATCATTAGAGTCTGTTTTTTTCCCCCTACAAGACCTCGACGTTAAATATATAGTGCTCTTATAAAAAGTTCTCATTTTGTTTCCTCCATGGGTGAGGTGGCCAGGACTCACTCTGGGCCCATAATACTTGTTAGAGGCCCTCTTTCAGGGACACAGTTGAAACTGCCTCTGCTTCAGAAAATAATGTCACTTCTCTTTTCTTATTGCCTCTGGGATATCCTAAATATCCAGTCTGGTGTGCCCTCATATAGAATGGCATCCTGACTGATCAAACAAAGACTGAAGAGGAGAAAAAAGAAGGGAAAATGGGAGAGGGGAATAATCCATAACAGTTTTTGGGCAGAAACACAAAAATGGTTTGTAGTAAAAAATTTTAAAGGTGATTAAGGGATTTAGATTTCTGTTTTTTTCTGAGACACCAAGGCTGAAAGGGACCTTCTTTGACAGTGCTGTCTCTTGCTAGTTCAAGCCACCACACACTGTAATCTCATAACTAAATTGTCTTCACTTTTCACACCACCCCGTTCTGCTCCTTTTGCAAGACCGTTCCAGAAACTTGCTCTGAATGTTAGGAGCGTTCTTCTAATTTCCAGCCTTAATTCAATAATGGAAATGCAACCAAAAATGACTTGCTGTGGGGTAAAGTTACATCTGGGAAAGTCAGTGTAAAATGAACTGGTGTACAAATGGTACACTGCAGCTCTAGTCTCATCCCTCTGTTCCAGGCAAACAAGTTATTATAGACCTCCACCCCTCGTGGCAGAGCAGTGTAACAGCTCCTGCTGTGGGTACCTACCTGGGGAGAGGCAGTGCTCAGTCTGCTGGAGGCAAAAACATAATTTAGCCTGTTGTACAGAGTTGTAAGATGAGTGTATCAGCACCCTTACATATGACCTGTTGATATGCCCTTCCTCTCTTGCAACCTGCCAGAGCCTTGTAAGCACCTCCAGTTTCTCAATCCCCATGTCCTGGCTACCAAAGAAACTCTTTGGCTTGTTTCATTTGGTTCTGTAAAGCAGGATGTCAAACTCACTTTGTGCTCTGAGTGGATCTGGACTATAGGAGCTTCTTGCAGGTTGGATCCAGCTCAGGGCACAAGGAAGCTGCTACAGCAGCTATGTCTCCAACCCAGAGCACGTAGCAAAGTGGCAGCAATGGCAGCAGCTCCGGCTTCATCCCAAAACACACAGAAGGAACAGCAGCTCCAGCTCTGATCTGGTACATGCAGCGGCAGTGACAGCCCCACGCCAGAGCCAGAGCTGCCACTGCCACATGATGAGGGCAGGAGGCCAGGGAGGCAGGCCCATGGCAGTGCGGACAGGCAAAGCAGCCTGAGGGCAAGTGGGTCTCTCTTAGCCCTCACTCACCCTCCTGCCATGGATTGCCATGTTGACCAGGGCCAGGGCCCCTGGATTCTGCAGCAGGCCACACCCCATGGGCCATGCAGATAGTCCAGCCAGCTGGAGATAGCTGTTCTGTGGGCCAGATCAAGCTTGCATGTTTGACACTCTTGCTGGAAAGCAATTGCTCAGTCACCACTGCCTGGCCTTCACTTTGAGACTCCTTCCTCAGCTGTAATCTGAGTGTCTTGGAGATGGTATAAAAAGAGGAATGATCAAAGATGCAAATGTTTATGCTGAAGTAACTTTACTTAGTCTACTCTGAAAAAAACTGAGGGTAAAACTACACTGGTATAAATTGTATGAGCATACAAGTAGAATTTCCCAATGCATGTTTGTTACATCTCAGTGTAGATATTTTTGTTTAAGACAAATAGAATATCGCCCACCTAGTGGCAAGGATCAATAATAGCTCCTACTGAGTGCTACTTTGCCAGGATATTTGCTGCTTATCTGTCTGCTCCAGGTCCTGGTGTAACATACACCACTGTACAAAAATGCTGTTTGATCCACCTCTATGCATTTATCTTATTTTCATACCCTGAGTTGACTTTCCCTTTCCCCTTCCTTCTCCATTTCTCTCCCTCCCCTTTTCTCCTAGCAAGAGACACTAGAAGACAGTGTGTCCTCGTGTTTGTGAGGTCTTTGAGTAGCCAACCTGTAAAAGGGGTACAAGGTTCATTGAAAGAGGAGAGGCTTGTGGTTTTGAAGCAGACAGATCAGGGATTCCCATCATGGTTTCACAAGTGGAAGCATTGCTGTCTCTTACATGAGCTTATCACAGTGCAATCCATTTTGCCCATGGATTAGCTGTTTCTCTCTCCTCCTAGCACTATGGATAATCACTGTGTCTCCTTTGTATGTTTTCAGCCTCTCCTCATCACCATGGCAGGAGTGATGGTTAATAGTGGGGGCCAGCACTTTGTCCAGGTGCCCCAAGCTATGATCTCTAGTGCCAATAACCAGCCTATAGTAATGCTACAGTCCTCTGCGATACCAGTGCAAACTGTGCACCTGGGGAACCAGCAGCTAGTCACCCTGAGCCCAGTAAATCAGTCTCCACAGATCCTGGAAAACTACCTCAAAGCAGAGCACAAGGCACTTGGGGTAAGTATTTTATGAGCCGTTATCCTCTGGATCTCAGTGACACATGATCTTATTGAGGTTGTGATATACACTTTTTTATATGTATACTTATGTGTATGTGTGTGTGTGTGCATAAACATTCAAAGACACACACACACAAAGATGCGTGCATGCACACACACAAGAAACATATTAGCCACATTCAAGAATAATGAGAACATCCACAGATGCATATGTTGATGTAAAACATATTTATACAGTCCAGAAATACATCTTGTCAGTGTGAAATAATTTTGCAATGTAGAGCAGCAGCTGTTGAACTGCTAAGAATGACCAGCACTGCACAATTCAGTGCACCATTAGATAGTGCTCTTCAACTTGTAGCAGAAAGCCCCCTTTGTGCATTTCCCTTCTGGACATTGATATAACAGAAGCCCCTTTTTGCCTGCACCCACCTCCCCATTTTGTGCATTTCTTTTCCTTCTAAATATTGGCAGAGACCTAGCACACTCATTGCATGGGTGTGGCAAGACTGATAGCAAGCCAGAAACCTGAAGTGGGTTTCTATAAGAGAAACCTAGAAATGATATCTACATATCAATTAAAGCTCAGTGTCACTAAAGAAAACAAAAGAACTAAAATATCCACTTCAAAGACTGTAAATATATCCTGGTGCTAAACTTACTGTCCCCAGTAACTTTTGATAGTCACTACCTCACATTGCATTTTTATATATTTCTCACAGTGGATTTTTATATTTCATCTGTCTCACCTTTACCATGGCATTTTGTGTTTTATATTTTATACTTTTAAACACTTAAGGGATGTACTCCCTGTAGAATGAAGTTACACCCTGGACCATTGTTAAAACCTGCATTGAAATTGTAATTGTAAAGTGATAAAATTTGCTATATTGGGCAGTCCCTTGAATGAATGCAAATATGAATGATAAACCAAGTACCTCTGGCTGTTAATTGACAATAGCCGAGCCAGAGGAACTTACCATTACAAAACTCTATAAGCCACTTTAAGCTAATCAAGCCAAGAAACAGATTCCTGGAACTAAGCACCCACTCTCGGAGCTGCAGAAGGTGGCCTGCACCCCAAACCTTGACCAGCAGGTAGAGCCCTCGGTGCCTGAAGTGGGGCATAGGGCTGCAAAGGGATCACAGGCCCTGCAGGAACCAGAGGCTTGCGCCTGCGTCAGCTGAAAGAAACCCTGAGTGGGGTGACAAGGACCCTACATCACCCATCGGAGCTGTGAGTTATCAGAGAACGGGTTCCCACAGCGGAGCAAGCCCCTGGAAGTGGGTCTAACAGAGGGCCCTGTGGGGAAAGGGTCCCCAGAAACCCTGCGAGGGGCTGAAAAGTACTGGGGCCCCTTCCTTCTCCCCTTTTGGAGATGTACCAAGGCTCCTAGCATCAAAGAGGCATCTGTAGTACTCACAATGATGTTGATACCCTGAAGGGTGTGCGGGCACCTCATATTTTGTAGGTAGTGCCTTATAGTTTGTTATTTTTAATGTGAGTTGTTGTTTAACTGTTGTCTATTGTATATATATGTTAACCTGTCTTCTTTAATCTCTTCTTGATACCCTCCACCCACCTGCCCAGTGGTTTGCCAGTATTTATTTGCTGTTCACCAATATTTACTCGTTGATTATTTGGACTTACCTGTGCTTACCTGTTTCAGATCAGTTACTTACCTGTGCTGGGTTTGAGGCTATTGGTGGTGTTATAATTTCCTAGTTACCAACTATAGAATATAGCCTTATATATAAAGTATATATTGTATATATTTATTAATATCACTTTTTGGGTTTCTGTGTGTGTGTGTGTGTATGTATACACACACGTACATGTATGTATATGTATGTGTGTGTGTGTGTGTGTATATATACACACACACACATGCACACACATATACATATATGTGTGTGTGTGTGTGTGTATGTATATAGTTATATTAATAAACCTGTATATAGTGAAACTATTGTTGTCCTGGCCTGACTCTATAGAGAACAGAGGGAACGGGCCAGTATTGCATATCCCTCTCACGGCACTCCTGCCTGGCCACCCATCCCTTCTATTTGGAGAGGGGAGCACATACTTGGGTGCACCCAGGTTACATTTAAGAGCATAAACCAACCAAGAAAAGACACTGTTTAGGAGGCAGCTTCTGTTTATAAAAAACTAGTCCAAATTTGTTCCCTATAAGACCTGTAGAGTGCTGGGCTAGAGGGATCACAGCAATGGCAGAGCACAGCAGTTTGTACGTTAAGTGCGGTGAACGAAAATGGAATGAGGGGGTCAGGAGGTTAGCTGCTTGTATCCATTTGAAAAGGACTGGAAATTACAGGTACCTGGGATTCCTGTAAATGACTGTGATGTTTCAAGGCCAACCTTAGGCCTGCTGAAGCCAGGCTGAGGCTTTCTGCTGACAGAAAAGGGCTTTGGATCAGCCCCAGTATAAGCAAGTAACTAAAGGAGAAGCAATAGCAATCAGTATTTGAAACCAAATGCTACCACTGCTTGGCAAGTACCTGTGATTGCACTGCAGCTTCAGCAGGGTGGTAAAACCTAGTTTCAGTTGTCTCAGTGATCAGGCATAGGTAGCTTAAGCAAGAGAGTGAACTGAACACCATCCATCGTATGGACTGCCAGGCAGCATGTTTGGAAGCTTCATAAGACCCATAGGCTCAGCAGGCATCCAGTTATTGCTAAAGCATAAAGCAGGGAATTCATGCATAATTCAGTTATTTCAAAAGTAATTGAATATAAGTTACCTTCTTATGCTTTCTCTTTCTTTTCCCCAGAGCACTGAGCTATGAGGAGGCTCTGTCAGGCAGCCTGTTTTAGAGCGATCACTTTGCAAAAATCACTGCTGTGTACAACAGCGGTGCTGGGATCACTCAGTATGAGGCTTAAAAGCTGAGGAGAGGGAGCGAATTCTGATTTTGCCTACCCTGGTTTGGAAGCTGAGTGACTCCTGTTGGCTTCAGCACCTCTTGGATTTAAGTATTGCATTCCCAGTTCAACAAGGTATCTGGGGTCATGTCCGGCTCTTTAAACATGCAAGTTGTCAGAGTGAATTGGGATTAAATATAGTGGAATTGCTAGGTTGTTTGTTGTTTGCAGTGCAACACTTGCTCCCTCTGCAACAACATGGACTGTGATACAGGGGTGGGGGGGGCGGTTTGCCTTCTTCTGTAGCAGGGGTGGATGGGCCTCTTTCTTGGATCTCTCAAACATTTTGACAACTTTTGTGGCAGCAGGATGTTGGCTATTGTGGTCCTTTTGCTTGTCCTATGAAAGATTAGGGTGTAAAATAGGGATTTAATAAAAGTAAGCAAAGCACTGAATATTTATGGACGGAAAAATTTGAAGACTGCTTCACTTTTTTGCTTCTTGCCAAATTTCTCCACTGAATTGTTCTTTATTTTGTTTTGGAAACTTGTAACTTTCTTATTGAAAAAACAAAACCACAAACCCTGCTATGTGACTTGAACAATCACAAGTAACGCTAGTAGGAAGTAATCTAGGTAGCTGCAAATGTAAACAAAATGGATGGTTAGGAATGACATGAGGAAGCAAAAAGAAAAATTAAGAGGAGAAACCCATTGGATATTTTTGAACTAGCACATAAAAATCTAGCAATTAAGTCTGCAGTTCTTAAAGAGTCAAAGTTCTGCTTCAAACACGAGGGTGAGTGTTTTTTCTAGGGAAGGGAGGGTGGGAGGGGGGCTATGGGAAGAGGACTTGAGGTCTTCATTCGGCAAAGGGAAATAGAACACAATGCAATGGGGCTAGGAATAGACATTGCATTTGTCCATGGGCAAGTTGTGCTTGTGTTTGTCTCAGAACAGAAATGTCACTGTATATCTGTGCCTGTGTATGTATGCACAATGCCCTTCTAATCAGGATTTAGTGAGCATCTGCATGTACTGCCACTTTTCTGCCATTGATTCAAGGATGCAATCCCAGGACAACCATTCAGATGCACTTTGCACGTCTTGGGATAAACTGGTAGTATTTCGTATCCTGTGAACCTTTTTTGGATTTATCCTGTGACAATGGAAATGGATGCCTGAACTATCACACTTTGTCCCAGGATCAAATGGTTTATCTTGGGACAAATACAACATCTGTTTGCAGCCTTGGAGCAGTACTGCTGGAAAGAAACAGACAAATGGCAGCATAGTCTACATGTCCAAGTTTTACAAAATGTGGAGGAGAGGGCAAAGATGGGATTTTAGAGTTGCATACCTGCCGGCAGGCAGGCTCTAGGGCGGGGGGGGCTGCTGCCAGACTGCCTGCACAGGCTTCCTCAAGAACTCCTGAGCTGCATGGAGCCCAGTGCTTCACTCCACGGCTGTAGGGCAGCAATGTAAAACTCCTCAGAGGAGTTTTAGTTTGTTGCGCTCCAAGTCAGTTAAGGTGCGTTACGCCTCTGAATTTGCTACAGTGGCTGGAATTACTGTGCAATATGCCACCGACCTGTGCAAACACCAACACCATTAAAGTGGTGCAAAAGCATTTAACCTGCTTTAAAGTGTCGTGCACACATGCCCCTCATTTAATCTACACACAGCCTAAGTGGATTTAGGTGCCTAAGTGCTATTCTGTTCCACCCTGTTTCAAATTCTGAAAATGTGTAGGTGCATCTGCTCTTGTCACACAGTGGGTGCATCTAAACATCACTGTGTAGCAACATTGCTACCTTTTGGAAGTACTTTTGGAAGTACTAAAGCACAGTGCAGTATGAGTGGTTACTGCACTGTGCGTGTGGCTCATGGTTAGATTTCACCGCCACATTGCCTGTGAGGTGTACTATAATCAAGGAGCATGCTGCTATGGCAATGTAGCTGGCAATCATGTAGTCACTATGTCACCATAGCACACTGTATGGTAATGAAGCACGTTGCTATGTCACTATAGGGTGACATGTAGATGTGCTCCCTGTCATCATACTCTTAAAGGTGAGCCACAAAAAAGCAGCCAGGAGGAAGAGGACCCAACCACATTTTACAGTAACTATATTAAAGGGACTTGAGCAGGATAGAATAGTGTTGAGCTTAAGCATTTAAGCCCATTTAGGTGGTTCTTGTTTTGTGGCTGTTAGAATTAAAAATAGTAATTGCCAAGTAACTGGCATATGGTTTCTGCTTCTTCAGGAAGGGTAGTGCTTTGAAGCTTGTCTTTTAAACTTTCCTTATGTCTTTTAAACTCCTCAGCAGATGGCAAAAATCATAACAATTCACAGTCCGTCTAGTCCTGCTTCCAAGGAAGTTACAAGAATCTCTGCAGTGATCTCCTTTCCAGAGAAGGAGAAGGTTCTTCTTGACCCCTGCTGTTGGTGGCCAACATGTGCCTTGAAATATGAAGAACCTTTTTTTTCTTATTTACCCCACCACTTTGTCTGATGCAACAGTGGATGTTCTCGTTATCTGTATAAATGCTTAATCTTTCTTCGAATGCCAGTGCCTGCTTGGCATCAGTGATGTATTATGGAAATGAGTTTTGTTGCAATGTCTTGTCCATGCCTGCTGAAAGCATGGAAAAACAAGCCCTGGTAATGTGCATCTCTCTCTCTCTCTCCTCATAGGTTGTCCAGATAATGATAGGCCTGATCCATATTGGTTTTGGAGTGATTCTTGCAATGTCCTGTGGCTTCTCCCTGGCAGGTGTTAGCGGTTACGTGTTCTGGGGCGGCCTGCTGGTGAGTGGATTACACAGACTGATCAAGGCAACAAGCTTGAACTGCGGGTGTGTGGGCTGCTCAGGCAAGGCTTCCAAGACTAGGGGAGCCACTGGCTGCAGAAATTGGGTTTAATGGTAGTGAAACTTGACTATTCGTGCTTATAGTTGGGCAGGGAATGACCTCCTGTCTTCCAAAGTTTCTTATGTTTTTTTCTTCCATTACAATCTAGATTAATAGGCAATATGTCAAGAATTTAATAGACTAACAATCTAAATAGTCATAATGAATTAATTGAAACACTTTATTTGAAGTTCACCCTTCTTATCTTTTTACCTGATATAGTTTATGTTAACTAAGATTTTGATGTGAAAAAATACTGGAAGAGTTCAACAACTTCATACAATCATTTTTTTCAAGTCAGGAAATTCACTGAAACTAGCCTGTTATCCTGAATAGTCTTGGTTTTGACAGAATTGGCACCAATCAAGAGGAAAAGAGCTCAAACTTTGAGCAATGTTGCAGGAAAAATGTTTCCACAACTTCAAAACTCTCTTGTTTTCAGGTTTTTTTTAATGGGGAGACTTATTGAAACTATCCAGTTCCCTATGAAACCAGTCCCTTTCCCTGAGCAGTTTTGCTTTCAACAATTTGTCCCCTTCCAATGGGAAAGCTCTGTCAGAAGATTTCCAACCAGTTCTACTCATGACTAACCCTTTAAAATAATAAAAAGCTCATTTGGAAGAAATCTAAGTCTTCCTGTTTGGGGTCCTAAAATTTAAAAGATGGGGTTTAGGAAGAAGCTTTCTCAATGGGCACATCTATACATGCATTTGATCTGGAATCAGTTTACTCTGAAGAAACTTTGTGGATTAAGTGTGTCCAGGCTGGTGTCTACAAATGCAGGGACTAGGCAGCAGATTTGCTGCTCTTAGCACCAAACTTCCTGCAGCCCTGCAGTGGGCCACTACTGTCACTGGGAGGAACTTGAGGCTCCCCTTGGCTGCTAGCCCAGGGGCTGGCAGGGAGCACCGGGCCAGGATAGAGCTGTCTCCTGACCCGGGGGGAATGTCTTCAGTTGCGGCAGGGACAATGTCCTCCTGTCCTGGCAACAGGAAGCTCCTAGCCCTGGCTTCTCAATCAGGGGTAGGGGACTTTGAAAAAGCTGCAGGGGAAGGGCAGGACCCAGCCCCCTGCCCTGATCCACTTGTGGGGCAACTAGCAGCAAATTCGCTGCTAGCTGCCCCACTGGCAGTTTGGGGCAGGGGGCTGGGACCAACCCCTCACCTGCAGCTTTTCTAAGCCTTTACCTTGATCACCTGATCAGGGCATGAAGCTGGGACCTGTCCGTGACCAGGACAATTCCCAATAGGCCTGTGCGAATAGGGAAATCTTTGATTCAGATTTGGATTCAGATGATTTGGAGGACAGTGATTCAATTCGGAGATTCAGATCACTGTCCCAAATTGATTTGGCCAAATCAGCTTCAGAAGATTAGGTGCTGATTCAGAGAGATTTGGTGATTCAGATTAGCTAGGGAAAGGCAGGCACAGCTGGGTGGCTGCAGGTTCTCCTGTGACTCCTCTGGCTGTGTGTGCCTCTCCCCAGATGGGGGGAGCTATGGGAGAAGCCCCCATGGCTGCCCTGCCCAGCCCAATCCCCTGCCTGACCCCAGACTAGTCCTGGCACTTAAAAAAAAAAAAAAAAGCCCCGCACTCGCTGGCTGAAACAGCAAAGACTGGAGCCTCTGGGAGCTCATGGCAGAGCACCCCCATGCAGCGCAGGGCAGTAGGGGGAAGCTGAGATTGCCTCCACCCCCTGCCTGGCACCTGCGCAGCAGCTGCTCCATGGCGCAGGTGCAGCATAGCTTGGCAGGGCATTGTGCATTCTCTGGGAGCTGGGGCCACTGGGTCTGAGCAGCGCCAGGCTCTGGCTGACACGTGGAGCCACCCCAGCTCCCAGACAGTGTGCGGCACCCTGCCAAGACGTGCTGCACCCAGCCATGGGGCAGCTGCCATGCAGGTGCCAAGGGGTGAGGCTATCCCTGCTGCCCCCCACTGCCCTGTGCTGCATAGGGGGGCTCTGCCATGAGCAGCCAGAATCCCCAATCGCTGATGCTGCATCTGGTTAGTGCGGGGCTTTTTTTTTTTATTATTTTTTTTTTCTGCATTCACCAGCCACAGCAGTGGCAATTGGTGTCTCTGGGCACTCGTGGCAGAGCCCCACCATGCAGTGCAGGGCAGTGGGGACCAGCAGGGTTTGCCCCTCTGCTTGGCACCCATGCAGCAGCTGTCACATCACGCAGGTGCAGTGTGGCTCGGCAGGGCACTGTGCGCTGTCTGGGAGCTGGGGCTCCTGGGGCTGAAGAGTGTTGGGCTCTGGCTGACAGGTGGAGCTGCCCAAGCTCA